GCTACCGCTTGAGCCACATCCCCAGCCCATTTTTAAGTCCTTATATCCCTCTGAACACTTTTAATTCAACACCTATAGATACATTTATTTACAGTTGTACTTTTTTCCTGAAATGTAAACAATATTTTAAAATATAACTGGACTTTCATTCAGACCTCCACTTTATACCAAGTTCACAACCCATATTACAGAGAACAAAATTATAGATTCTCTATAAAAGTAATCTTATTCAGAGAGCAGGAATATGAAGTAATCTTCTTTTGCACTGTGGTCTATCAGTTAAACAAGTATACCTATGTTTTTAAATGGTTATCTGAACCTTCTATAAACCCGTTATGTAAATTATGCAACTTAATAAAGAATCTAGACAGAAAAATAAAAAAATAAAATTGGCCACTACTTATTCAATTAGAAATCTACGGAATACTTAAAAAAATGACAGTAAGAAAATACCATTCTTCTCTTAACTGGATGATACTGTATAAATTACGTAGTCTCTAGGCTTTCATTTTCTCATTTTTAGAAAAGAGAAAAATAACACCAAGCCTCACAGACTGGTATGAGGATAGTGGGTTAGTGAACATGAAAGGACTCTGCAAATTTTAAAGCTCTTTATAAATATGAAAAACAATAATAGAAACAACAACTACTAGTCTGTACTATCCAAAAAGGAAATGGCTTGAGAAAAGTCAAGGTACATTACTCTGGGGGCTGGGGATGTGGCTCAAGCGGTAGCACGCTCGCCTGGCATGCGTGCGGCCCGGGTTCAATCCTCAGCACCACATACAAACAAAGATGTTGTGTCCACCGAAAACTAAAAAATAAATATTAAAAATTTTTTTAAAAAGGTACATTGCTCTGGTGGTTTTCTGATTTCTAACAAGGGATTCAAATGTTGCAAAAGGCAATGCCACATATAGTAAGTTAGTTTCTTTGTTGTTTCTCTGTTAGGTATAGGCAACTTTGTTATGTACCATTTTAAACCTATTTCATACAAGAATATTTCATTCTTCATTTTAAGAAGTTAAGTATCTCAGAAAAATTAGTAAAATAAAACTTGGTTACTTTAATTATGAGGAAAAGTAAATAGAACTTGACATTCCACTAAAGCACAAATGAATTCTATGAATTAATGTAAAAAATGTCAGTAACTAGAATATTATTGTGCATGCATTATTTTAAAGGAACAATATCAATATATAAATAGTCTCTAAACTGGAACACCTTCCAGTTCTTATTAAATATAGATAGATAAATATGTATACATAGATACATATGTGTATGTATATATTCAAATATTACTTTTAAATAAACTGTCTAAAATTTTTTTGGAAGTACAAACAAAATAATTTAGATAAATTGTCCTACAAGAGAAAATGCTTTGATTTTATTTTTAAAAGCACTAGAACATTTGTGTGTGTGTGTGTGTGTGTGTGTGTGTTCTAAGAGAGTAAACACATTTAGTAGTGATAAGAATAACAGTTAACATAAGATTATCAAATATTCCTCTTCAATTAAGGAATTCTGACACAGTGAATCAAATCTCACTTTTTACCAGCTAGAAAAAACATAACTTGACAGTGTCCTTTTTTATTATTAAAAATTATGCCTAAAAGCATCATGCATATGTAAATGCAATCTATTACCTGCAAAATCATCTGGAAA